TATTAATTAATTATATGTTTGGTACTATTTGGCACTTGTGCTTGGCACTTTTTGGCATCTTTTTGCCTAGCATATTGTGCCTATGCCTATAAAGTATATGGCATTTTTATACTCATGATTATAAAAATATCTGGCATTTGTGCCCATGCCTATAATAATTCCTGGCACTTTGAGTCTATAGGTATGAGCATGGCATGAGGCACTAATGCCTGGCATAGTGCCAATTTGCCTGGCATGGGCATTTGCAGAACCCTAGTTACTAAATAGTACTACATAAAGGCCTCCTAACACATGATTTTTCAAAATTGTGAAATCATTTTCAATAAAATTTTCCAGGCAAATTTGTCTGGAATACAGTAGAAGATGGTTTTTTAAGTTGATAAATGCTTGTGATCGACGAATCTAAAATTGCCGTCTTGCACTTTTTTTGTAGCACCAAATAGTAATAAGTAAAGGCCCTCTTATGCGACCATCTTATGCGGCCATCTTATGCTAATGCTAATGCATAATTTTCTAAAATGAAAAGAACCTGTGTAATCATTTGACAATAAAATTTTTCAGGCAAATTTGCCTGGAATACAATACAAAATGGTTTTTTATTTGTGATCGACGAATCTAAATTGTTACTTTAGCACCGTTACCGCTTCTCTTACCACTATAATAAACAAAGAAACCATACTACATTATGTACATATGTACGTATTTAGATATTGAATCTTTTTTCATTTTTTATATTTATATAAAGTGATGCTTAAGTGTTGGTATGCATTTTTTAGTATCTCTATTTGAAAGTGGCAGAGTAATTGCCTTGAAAAAAATGAAATATTACAGGAATGTATATAAATATGCTAAAGAAAGTACCAAGTGCCATAGTGCCATATGTTGAGTTGCTTTGATGTAGTTAACAAACTATCATTTCACCCACCCAGTCCCATATTTCTTGAGAAAAGTTCAGTAGCCTCATATTTCTCACTTTAATATCACTATACAAGTGTGCTAACCTGTCTGCTTATGATAACTAATTAAATAGTTATGTTTTTTAGTCATTTGCTTTCATTATTATATTTTTTTTTAAAAAAAAATATCATAAAGTCATTACAAATACCATCAAAAAAAAAAAATCATTACCATTACAAAATTGTTACAGTACCATCATTTTTTTTTTTTAAAAAAAAAAAAAAGTAATAAAATCATGTTTTACCAATTATTCAATAAATGAAGAACAAGAATATACAGAAGAATTGAGAAGGATCACAAATAAAGGGGTGAGTATTGAAAGAGGTAGAGGAAGAGTTAGGGGAAGAAATAGAGGAAGAGGAAATGAGAGGAGTAAAGGAAGAGGAGAAAATAAAAAACAAAATAGTGTTTTAAATTCAGCATTATCACCATTAGAATTGCCTATTTATAATCTTATTCAAAACCATTATCTACTTCACAGAGGATATGTAACACTTCCCCATGAATATTAACAAGGCATAGTTAATCCACTCACTCTTTTTCAACTGTTTTTTACTAATGATCAATTGCAGTTAATGGTTGAGAACACCAATACATATGAACAGTTAAAAGGGAGAGAAGGTGGTCATGTTTGGAGTTTGTTAACATTAAATGAGTTAAAAACTTGGCTTGGGCTAATTATCTACATGGGGGTTCATCAGATTAATACAGTAGAAGAATTATGGAATTGGGATGAAAAGAAGGCAAATCATGAAATAAAAAGGTTTATGTCTCTATTTAGGTTCCAACAAATTAAATGATTCTTTCATATTTTAGCTTCAGATCAACCTCAACTGCACTGATACTCTAAAGTTGAACCATTTGCATTACATATTCAAGGTGCAATTAAAAATTTTTATATTTCTAGTTCGAATGTTTCAATTGATAAAATGATCATATGTTTCTCAGGCTGAAGTGTTCATACAGTAAGAATGAAAAATAAACCGACTTCAGAAGGGTACAAGATTATTTCACTCTGTGATCATGATTATACATGGGCATTTATATTTACTTCATGAATTAAAAAAAACAACTTAGAACCTGTTCCTGGTCTTAATAATATTGGATGCTTAGTTGTGCATTTAGCTTGTATGCTTTCCAATAATAAGATATTCTATATATATATAGATAATTACTTTTTCAGTATACCACTTTTTAAATATTTGTGTGAAAATGGTATTGGTGCTTGTAGCACTATTTATACTAATTTAGCTGGATTTCTTAAAGAACTAAAAATCAGTAAAGAAATGGTATTGGATTGGAACACCCTTATAGAAAAGTAGTTAATAATGTTTTGGCTGTTTTATGAATTGATAATGGCCCAGTAACTATGTTAACCACCATTCATGAAATTTCTGATGAAAATTAAAAAGTTATCTGTAACCAACGATGACCACATGAGACCAGTTCTAATGCAAATACAGTACATTGAGTTTTTGGTAATGAGTATCGAAAAGAATTAGAAATTTCCCAAGTAATTGATGACTACAACCATAATATGGGCAGTATTAATATCGCTGATCAACTTCATGGATATTACAACTGTCAATTAACAGTTAGAAGAACATGGCTCTCTTTATTTTTTTGGCTTTTAGACACTGTTATTGTAAATTGTGTATATATTTATCATAAAGTGACTAATTTAGATATCTCAAGCAGAGATTTTAGAATAAATTTAGCATGAAATTTAATCGAAAATACTTTAGATGATGGAAAAAGAGTGTTGCCTCAAGGTAAAATGTCATCTTAATCTTCATCAAAAGAAAAACAAATAGTCATCAAGAAAAATTTTGAATTGCTCTTAACTCACCTATTAGATGGGGACCATTTAGTAGAATAGAGGAAAAAAAGAGAGGCTTGCATTTACTGTTGCTATTTGTCACAACATAGAGAAAAAGCAGTTAATTATAATAACCTGCCACAAAGTCAGCTGTGGTGCACTAAATGTAAAGTGCCATTATGTTGTTCTAAAACAAGGCTACATTGTTTTAAAGACTTTTATTCCAAAAGTCATAATGATTAAAATTTAAACCTGCAATTTCTCTTTCCACATTTTATATCAACTGTCTACCTCCCGATTATTGTTTGATATTCCTTCATATATAAAATTAAATAATTTTACTTTAGTGTTAAAAAAAAAAAAAAAAATACAAATTAGATAAAGACAAAAAAAAATAAATAAGTAAAATAAATAAATAAATAAATATGAATAAGGCAAAAAAGAAATAAAGATAAAATAAAAAACAAAGGTAAATAGAGCAAAAAAATAAAGAAATAAAGCAAATAAGAAATAAGAAATAAATAAAAAAGTAGGCAAATTAAATAAAGTAAAATAAAACCAAAAAAAGTAAAATTTGACCTTAATAAAGCTGATCTGAAATTTTGATACTCCTCTGAATTGTAGCAAAAGAATAAGAATATAAATTTATGAATAAATGGCAATAGTAGGTTTTAGTTTCCATCTTACCACTAGTACAAACATGTTATGCTTCTAATGAGTATATGTAGAGTTCATACATACTGTAAATATTAATCCAGAAGAATTTGTAAAGCATGCTGATTTGGCTCTAATAGTTATGAAAGAAAAAGTGTAAACTTTTAAAATAACTATTAATATTGGCACAGTAAGGATACTAAGACAAATAAGTTAACAGTTCTCAACAAAGAACAGCTTAATCAAAGGGTTGTAAAGGTAATCAAAGATAATCAAATGGGGTTTGATAAAAGAAGGTTCGAAAGTAGAGGCAAAAGGGAACTAAAAGGTAGAAGAAAGGAGTTTTTTTGGAACAATAAATTGGTCATGTGAGCAAAACAATAACTTAGATTTACAATCGTGTGGAAAAAAATTTCGATTGTCTAATAAAGATAATAAAGATCTTTTTAGCAATATGTACATATGTTACTAGACAAAAGTGCTACTATTATGATTATGTTGAAAGTACTAGGCAAAAAACATAATATTTGTGACTTGCGCAGAACTTTGGTTATGATATAAATAACAATCTTGCAGTAATGTTAAAGGTTAGGGCAATTTAGTATGGTGGCACAAATAGAAAAATTTTTTTAGACAAATTTGCCTGGAAATGATCTACAGATTAAGAAATAATATTTTTATTATATTATAAATATATTTAGCAGAGGTGTAAAAACCTAGTAAAGTGGTTAGATTGTTAACCTTCCAAGTGGTAGATTGAGTGTTTAAATTTTATTGACAGCAAAAATTTAAATAATCACCTATATAATATTTATATTGTTATAGAATGTTTTATTATTATTTTATTAGTTATTATTATTTTATTATTATTATTTAGTATTAGTTATTTTATTATTGTATTATTATTATATTACTAGTAATTGTTAGAACTTTTCAGTTAATTAGTAATCACTTAGTCATTTAGTCACTTAGTTGCTTAGTCACTTAGTCACTTAGCCACTTAGTTGCTTGGTTGCATAGTAATTAGTCACTTAGTAATCATTAGTTATTAGTTGCTAGAATCTTTTGGTTACTTAGTAATCACTTAGTTACTTAGTTACTTAGTCGCTTAGTCACTTAATCACTTAGTCACTTGGCCACTTAGCTGCTTAGCTCATGGATATATAAACTCTGCTAAATTCCCCAAATGCAATTAAGCAACAGACATCCCTCTTCCTTTTAATATTGTAAACACATCTTAGGATTCTTTAGGAACAGAAATCTAAGAATAGCCCTTCTTGTTATTACTTTAATAAATAACTTTTAACTATAAACTGTATTGATACTCCCTCTCTAAGGTAATTCTTACAGGCAAGGTTTATCTTTTTCTAGTAAAATAAAGTAAAGTTATTAGTATTGTCTTACCTTTCCTGAACTGCCTCAAAGAAGAATATAGTTTCTTAACAATGTCTAACTGAAACTATACTTCTCTCTTGAATACTGCATATATCTGTAAGGGATTTCCTGTACTATGTTGTTGTTATAATATGAAATTAAGAAGGCTTTTACTTATAACATTTGGTGCCTTCTAATAAAAAGGTTAAATTTTTAAAGAAAACAAGTCATCCTGAATAAAACATTCCTGGATGTATTGAAAAAGTTATCCTAGCAAGAAACCTAGACAAGTATTAGTTATTCTGACAAGAAACTCTGACGAGTATTAGTTATCCTGGCAAGAGACCCAGATGAGTATTAGTTATTCTGACAAGAGACTCAGATGAGTATTAGTTATTCCAGCAAGAGACTTGGTCGAGTATTAGTTATCTCAGCAGAGTCTTGGACATAGAAACACATTTTCTTTTATAGTTTACACTGTTGCTGAACTTCACAATGAAAACATCCAAAGCTATCAACAAGCATATCTAACTAGATTTCATCTTGCAGTAGATGTACTCCAAACACAGCATCCAGATTTATCTTGTCTTCAGTGTTACTTCCCTTGACATACTAGCCCTCACTCAGATTTTGGACAATTTTGGACCTAGTATTAAACTAACTTTGCAGCTTAATATTATTTCTCCAAAACTCAGAACAACTTTACTACTCTTACTACTCTATATCCAAACTGAATCACAATTCGCCTTTGCATTAGAGATATTATTTTTAGTTGTCAATATCAACAAGACATTGGTGATCCTAAAACAATTGCTTTAACTTTAGTTAAAAAATATACTAACCTCTTCCAACTTCTTACCTTACCTTTTAAATATCAAAATGCTTTTGACCTTCATCTCAACACTTCTCTAAGCTTTAGTTTTAAAGAACCAAAAGAATTTAGTTAACATCTTGAAAATTTAGAAAGTCCTATTCTACTACCTACTACTGATATTACTTTTACTGATAATATTCCTTTCTTACATGACTCAGCAGATAGCTTAGTTCCATATAATGAATTAGTTACACCTACTGAACTTTTTAAAAGTCACTATACTTCTGATTGAACTTCACAAATCTTTTTACTACATACTAACAATTTAAAAACAGAAGAATATATTACCACTTCTGTAGACCTTACAGAAACCTTTAGCCCAACTCCTACTCCTACTAACTCACCTCAACAAACTTTTGAAAATAGTTCTTCTCCTTTATCTCTACCTCAACTTGCTATTCTCATATTTTGACCTATTGCTGTTTAACTTCAACCTGTTCAACCTTAACCTATCACTATCCAAATTCAACTTATTGTTATTCAATCTTAACTTCAACTTCTTTCTCCACTTCTACCTATTCTTGATAACCTCTCTGATCTACTTGATAACATGGCACAACAGGCTTTACAAGATACTACACAAGCTATAACTAACCTTACCAATGCTCTGAATGGAAATGAAAAAGCTTTTATAAAAGCTGACTTCTTTTATGATAATAAAATCCAAGACCCAGAACAATGGCTTAAAGATTTTCGAAGAGCTGCTATCACTAACAAGTAGGATGCTGCTCGAAAATTAGAACTAATTCCTGTATATTTAAAAGGAATTGCACTAGATTGATAGCAAGTCTTAACCCTGCTCCAAATGCTTTTAATGATAATGCCTACCAAGACAGAAGCTTTAAACATCTTTTTAGGCTTCGCTTCCATATATCTAAACAAAAAGCTATTTGGTGGAAACAGCTTTTTGATATTAAACAAGACTCAGACATAGTAGATGCCTATATTAATCGTTTCAAACAATTAAAGAGATGAGTTGACCCTGGTGATGCTTTTTCTGTCAACTTCACCAAACAATTATTTATCCAAGGACTATGTTCTAAATTTTCTATCAATGTGCAAGCTAGTGAACCTGCTAACCTAAACACTGCTATTATTACTGCAAAACAATGAAAAACTGGACATGTAATGGCTACTAGTACTATCACAGAAACAGACCAATCTATCAAACAACTAACAAACCAGATTGCCAAACTTAGCATCAACTTGGCCCAACAACAGCAACTACCTTAACCTTAATCTGCTAACTATGCAGCTACACTTAATCCTAACAGGCCTCAAGCCAAAGACTCATGTCACTGCTACTACTGTAGATGTACAGAACATTTTATTGCTAAATATAGAACCAAATAAGCTGAACAATGATTTAACCAAAGAGATAATTATAGAAGAAATGATAGACACAACCAAAGATCTTATTCTCAAAGTTGTGACAGATCTTATTATTGAAATTCTTCTAGAGAAAGAGGAAACTCTAGAGAAAGAAGCAGATACTCGGACTCTTATAATAATGATAGAAGAAGAACTAGTTTTCACTCATCCTCACCCTACTATAGAGATGTTAACTACCTTGGCCATAAAGATTCTTCTTTTACTTCTTC